CAGAGCAGAAGGTGGACCATCAATGTCCACACTGAAAGGGACAAGGCTGGTCTGCTAAGACAGCGAGGGTGGTTCTCAACCCACTGCAAAGCCTCCTAGTTAATCTCCTCCGTTGTGGTCTTGCTGCTCGATGCTTGGGTCACAGGAAGTGCCTGCTCCTTCCTCCACCTCCCGGCAGTGGGTCACAAGGATTTATGAATCACAGCAACACCTAACATGAAAGGGGAAGAAAGTTACCATCTTAGTGTCTCCAAAGTTAATCAGAGTCCAACGAGTCCAGGAATGTACCATATCCTGTCACAGCCTGTGAAATCCCAAAGGGTCACGAGCTATCACTGACAACAGCCACATCCTGGTGGGACATTTGAATCCACAAGCATGATCTCAAACAGTGCATCCCAGAAGATAGCTCCTACTCCTCTTCCCGACCACAGCACCCAGTTTAACAACAGCCACACCCCTCGCTAAGAACCCCGAGGCATCTATCTCCAAATCCGTATCGGCTGATATAAGTCTACTTTTCCACTTTCAGAAGTCACTGGAATGAACTGGAAAGAATAGTACACCGGCTTCATGGGAAGAGGAAAAATGAATTTGCAACCCTTGCCACAGGCCATCTGCATGCTGGTCTTCGGTGAGCTCAGTCACATTGGCTGGCCACTCCCACACTGCCTGTTGTTATAGAACTGAGAGCCTCATCCAGTGCTCAGTCCCCAATTGCATAAACATTCCAAACATGTACTGTGTGTCACCGCTTTAGTAAAAACTTAACCACATTCAGGTCCGAACTTTGTAAATCCATTTACTGCCCAAGTTTCACTGGTCCACTGCATGGGTTACAGGGACGGGATGGGGTTTCCCTGTGTCCACTGCATGGGTTACAGGGACAGGATGGAAGACACAGAGGCTGAGAAAATCAACATCCTTCCTACACATTGTTCTCTACTACAGACATGAGCTAGTGATAAAGTCTGCCTGCTAGCCCACCTTTACAAATGCCCTGTGGCCCCATCCTAGCCAATGAGACTGTAAGGCTAGTGTTTTGTGGTGTGATGGGCAGCTTGTTCACCTCTTTCTCCCTGGGATCATATACCTATTCCTGGTGGAAATCAGTCCCTGGCAGGTGTCTGGAACCTGCCGACAAATCCCACCTCAAAAAGTAACCACAGTGAACATGTTTGCTAGAGATTTATTTATTTTTGGGTTGGTTTGGGGTTTTTTTGTTTTGTCTTGTTTTTGTTTGTTTGGTTTGGTTTGGTTTGGTTTTTGAGACAGGGTCTCTCTGTGTAGCCCTGGCTGTCCTGGAACTCACTCTGTAGACCAGGCTGGCCTTAAACTCAGAGATCTGCTGCCTCTGCCTCCTGAGTACTGGGGTTAAAACATACCCCACCACTGCCTGGCTTGAAGATTTATTTTAACATGTTCTTATCACTATAAAATATTCTAACTGGAGATGAGGTTAAGGAAACACAAAACTAAAGAGAGGAAGGACACTCTATCGGAGGCATTTGGCTTAAGACATCCATTCCCTGTTCGTTCCTGCCTAAAGGGTTAGACGGGAGAGCTAGACTCCAGACCAAGAGGTACCACCTGGCCTTGGCAGCCTCACCTGTGCCGCAGAAACACTTGAGGAAAAGTAGGCTCTTAAAGTGTTCGTGTGGTGTTTTTAGATAAGCCCTTTTCTTAGAAAAGCACCGTGATCTCATTATGGAAAATGCGTAAGGAAACAAAGGAGAAATCCTTTATCCCTTCGAGGAGAACACCTTGTTAGCACTTCCTGGCTTCTAATAATAATCAGAGTGGGTTAGCTGGAGGTGACCACACCAGGCAGGCACCATGCCACAAACTATATGTGTAGTGTCGCGTTCTGTTCCCTTAAAAACTCTCAGAGGCCCAATGTAATTTTATCCCCATTTTTCAACTGAGATAATGGAGGTTCTGTCAGACTGAATGACTAGCCCAGAGACGCAGGGCTAGTGGCAGATCTGAGACTCCAACACCCACTTGGAGAAGTAACAGCTCTTCAAACTCCCTCCTCCGATTTAGGACCAGAGCGCTCGGCACACTTGGCACACACAGCTCAAGTCCTCCTCTACCCCAGCATGCCAAGCACAAGCATTTTCTCCAGACATTAAAAATAGAGGAGGCTGGGGAGGAGCTGGGAGGTGTTGGGGGAGGGGAAGTCATAATCAGAAGCTATTGTATGGAAAAAAATGTATTTTCAATTTTTAAAAAGATAGAAAAAAATATGCCCACTGAATAAGCATTCCAGAGAATATCTAATTATTTCTCTAATGCTATCATAAGCAATGCCCTGCTAAGTCACGTCGGCCTTAAATCTTTGCACCTCAGATCCACTCCCTGGGTTCTGAGATGACACACTCACTTGGTCAGCTGGTTTGAGTACAAAATGGCCCAATTGTGTCCCTCCCATCAGTTCTGAGTGGGCAGGCAGTGAAGAAAGGTTTTGGAGTATTCAGCATGTATGTGAAATCCAATCCTGGTGGGTCCTATCCAACCCACCCACTTCTCACTAACACAGCAGCGGAGCCAGAGGGACCCACCCACCCCCTCATCCTACAAAATGCCACGTTCTTCCCTCTGCAGCCTCCAAGAAAGGAAAGGGGCTGGTTTTCGTGAGGACAGGGTTGTTCTGGCAAAGGCTTAAAGGACGGGAGAGCAAAAGAAACGCATCGCCATCGCCGCCAGGAAAGAAGGTGACACAGAGCCCCTGGCAGCCACGTAACACAATCACCCCATCCTGAAACCTGAACAGGTGGGGGTAGCTGGGAGCTGACCTTTCCCACAGGAAGTGAAAGTGAGGGAGCCGCACTGGGCCGAGGCACAGCGACAGGAGAGGACGGTTTTTAAATCCGCGGGATGATGGGTGGCACATGCGTGGCGTGCGCTCGGGGAAGGAACATTCAGTCCACATATGTCCAAATGTTTAGGCCACACATGCAAGCCGGGCCTGTGACTCCCCTTCACAGGATCTCTGGCCAGCACCAGCTCTTGGCCCTGCACTGCACTGAACCCGGCGCCATCCGCTACAAGAAACAGCCTGTGCACCTGTCACCCATCACCTTTACTCGGACTGAGCTGGGACGGGAGAAGGGGCATGGCTACGCTTGAACTCTGGCTTTGGTGCAAGCTTCTTAGCGATGTGGCTGACTTGCGGTGATTACTTACAGTGTCCACAACTCAGCTGCAAAATCAAGGATGCAGTCCCACTCAGCCTGAGGGCTACTGAGAAGATGAGAGGCAATGCACACACTGCACCTGCTGCGCTGGGGTCAGGGAGGGGCTAGAGTTGGGATGTGAAAGAGCCCAGCTGGTCACGATACTGTGGGAGGTGTTAGGAACTCTAGGAGGTATGGTGTGGGATGTCCTTCTGCAAGCTTCGAATATATGTTGCTTTTATTGGCTGATGAATAAAACTGTTTCAGCCAACGGCTAAGCAGAATAAAGCCAGGCAGGAAATCTGAACAGAGATAGAAGGCAGATGCCATGTAGCCACTGGAGAGGCAAGATGGCAGAGGCATCTGATAAGCCATAGCCACATGGTGACACACAGATTACTAGAAATGGGTTAATTTATAAGAGAGGGAGAGGGAGAGAGAGAGAACACTAGCCAACAGTAAGCCTAAGCCATTGACCAGACAATTAACTAAATATATATTAAGGCTCTGAGTGGTTACCTTATAAGTGGCTGCAGGGACATGGTCGGAAGAGAGAAACCAGTCGAGTGGGACTGGGCTGGATGCTTAAAAGTATTCAGACTGCATCTGGTGCCCAACATGGGGTTCAAACCCACAAGACACTTTAGTACAGGACTTGGGCGCCTCAGGATAGCACGGCTTTGGAGTACTGGACATTTAGTACATGCTTGTGTTTCTTGCTTTATGTTGTTCTTGTTCACTGTAGTTCTATTTTTGTGTATGTTCCTACCCTTTCTTCCTCTTGGACAATACTTGATGTTTCCTTACTATACATATTAGGGTTAGACCCTTCTTAGACAAAGGGGGAAAGTGTTATGGGGATTTATTCCTGCCCTAGGGCGTGGCTTCTGTGTGTGGACATAACCTCTTATAAGGAAAGAGGAGAGGCCTCTCTCGTTCTCTCGTGTGGTGGACAGAGATCCCATCACAGCTTCCACGGGCCACAGGGCAGAGCAGAAGACTGTGGCGGCTTCCTTGTCATCCATGAGTGCTTCCCAATAAATATCTGATATCCCTTTATTTGGGCCCTCGTGGACTCTGACACCCTCACCTGCAGAGGTGGAGGGGAGGGAGTCACAGGAGGTATTGCCACTGAAGGGCTCTCAGACCTGCCCCCTCCAGCCTCTGCTGCCTAGGTGCAGGAGGCTGGAAGCCCCATGACCCCACATGATGCCCTTACCATCTCTACATGTTGAGCCTCACAACCACCCAGAAACTAAGTAGCCAAGAGACAGCAGACTGAAATTCCTGAAACCATGAGACAACCTCTCCTTTCCCCCCAACACACACACTTAGGTATCTCCCCTCAGGAACTTGTCAGAACAACAAGAAAATACCTAACGTAAAATGTACACAATAAAAGCCAGCGTGTGTGTGAGGTTTTGACCCAGAACCCAACAGAGCCCTCCTCCTGAGGACAGGTCCTTACAGCCATTCTGTATTGACGCACCCCATTCCCAACCCACGTTAACCTCACATGAGTAACCGGTGTTTCCTGTCTGTGCAGGTCTTATCTTCCCAACCCAACTTGTAATGAGTAAGAAGTACGCTCTGCCACCTACATGCCTGGCACAAGGTGAACCAGGAATGGCCAAGGCAGTCACAGCTCGGGCCAGTGGGAAATGACTCCCCGGAACACTACATTAAGTGTTAGGAGCAGCTACGTTCAGGTTCCTGGGGGCAGTGCTAATTATGAGTGTCCATCGCGGGCACACGGTGAGGACACAGTTACCTGTAACCCTGCTGGAGGTATTCAGTCCCCAGGTAAGCAAGCTCATCTCCTCACGCTGTTCCTGCCCCCCATGGTGTGGTGGTCCCTGGAGCAGGAACCCACTCACCTGCATAGCTCCTCCCGGTGCTCATGTTGGTTGGCAACAGTGTCCACTTGTCGGTGACTGGGTTGTAGTACTCTACTGAAGACAGATTGCAAGATCCGTCATCCCCTCCGACCACATACAGGAGCCCGTTCACTGCACAGACCCCTGGAGACCAAACAGAAGTCACGGGATCAGTGGGTGTATCAAAGGCCAGGGCCCCTGGGCAGCTGGACGCCACACCCACAGGCTCCTTTCCCTCGGGGGTCTGAGTCCTCTCAATGCAGGAGCATGCTGGGCTCTGAGGGTCCCCTTTCTAGCAAGGCCACGCCTCTCACCAGGAGCTTTCATTACTATATGATCCTACAGAAGTTCCTGCTGAGCACTCCCCACCAACACATTACAGACGGACATTACGGTTCTCCCTGAGGGACATCATAGCGAGATGCCACAGGTCTCCCCATCAGCCTGAGCTAGGGAAGAGACAAGATCCCCTGCATTCCCATTTCCCCGTGCCTCCCATAAGCTGCTAATGGCCATGCCCGTAACCCGGGCGTCTGAATACACACACATCTGGATTCAACTCAGGTTGGGTTCCTTTCTCATTCTTACCTCAGAGTACGTTTGTTTGATGGCAAGATCTCATGAGGATGGACAGAAGAGCAGGGAAATGCAATTTTTATTCAAGACCTATAACTCATACTCTAGTGGATAGTGTTTGATATGTGTGTGTGTGTAGATATACAGATATACAGATAGATAGATAGATAGATAGATAGATAGATAGATAGATAGATAGGATGTACATACATGTACACAAAATGTACAGGTCATCCCTCCATCTCAAAAGTCTACTTTTGGCCTTTTCTTCTAGAGAAATAATTTTAAATGTGTACATTGACTTAACTATAAGGATCACTTACAATACCACAGCATAGGAAAGATGGGGTAAATGGAATATTCAGTAATGAACTGGGTAAATTATGATCACAGCCTTGTTCCGTGAAGGCGTAAAGATACATTTAGTGTTGGGACCAGACACCGATGAAGAATGGAAACCAAGTTTTAAAACAGCGCTACGGTAAGATCCGCATGTTATTAGAGGAATGTGCACACGTGAATGTTTACACATGCCCATGTTTGTAGCTTAATTCGTAAGACTGCCTTACGGGGCCTGCAATTCCTTGTTCGTGTGGCTAAAGGCCAAATGCCAGCGAGCTTTGAGCTTCGCTGCCGCAGGCTCGGGCAGCGAGCCAGCTGGTAACGCCCCTCCATTCACGCTTCCACTTCTGACAAGTCAGCCACCGTGAGTTTAGCCAACAGGTAACGTGAGAAATAAAGGACACAAGTCTCCCTGGTAGCACCTGTGCCTCGGGCAGCCTGGGAAGGTGGGTGAAGCTAACCTACCCCTTCCCTGAGCTAAGCAGCACACAGCAAGCTCAGCTGTGCAGGGCACAACTCAGAGCCGGGCGGGCAGGCCCCAGGACACGTGACCCTGAGCACTCTGGGACAGGCTGTTCCTATGGGAAGCACTGGAAGAGCAAAGGGACTTGGGGACAGGGCACTCGAGGAAGACGATTAAGGAAGGCAGACACTGGAGGACAGGGCAGGGTCTGGCTCTCCTGCTGGGAAGGGAGGAACTTGAACCCTGTGAGGCGTCCGAGGACCTTTCAGCCTGACACTGGCAGAGAAAAGAATTCAGCATCCCTGTCTGCCTTGGGCCCAGCCTAGCCACCCGCAGGACCACAGGTGAACCTAGGCATCAACCTCCACAGTGAGAAGGGACTCAGAGTCTGGGGTGGGGGTGTCCCGTGGCCAGCTTTTGGGGTCCAGGTTCTTTCTCCCTTCCCCTAACGCTGAGCCTCAGAACACAGGCTCAGATCCATACTCTGGCAACCCTGCCCCTTTCCTGTCACTCAGGACAGTCACCTCCAGGGAGAGAAGCACCATGGCCCTGAGAGGGGGCGTGGTCAGGGTGCCTAGCTCTGAGAGGGGGCGTGGTCATGGTATCTGGGAGGGGGCGTGGTCACGGTACCTGCATTCCGCCGACACATGTTCATGTCTGCCACCTGCTTCCAGGTGTTTGTCCCAGGGTCATAAACCTCAACACTCTTCCTCACCAAGGGTCCGTCGTGTCCCCCCGTGGCATACAGCTGTCCGCTGAGCACCCCAACCCCTGAAAAGCAAAGCACAGTGTCCCAGCCCCAGGTCCTGCTGGAAGAACAGGAAGCCAAGAGTCCTGGTGACCAGCCTTGGACAGCTATCACCAGCAGGGTGACTCAGGGAGCAAGTTCTGTCTCCCTGGATCTCAGTCTCCCAATCTATAAAATAAACATGATGATACCCTCCCTGGTAAGAAAGGCGGCCTGGAAACACGGAGATCCAAAGCCAACACGGCCCCATTTCTGCTTTTAAAATGTAAATATGTAAGTGTGTACGTATACATAGGGGTGACTAAAGGATCCACTAAAATGTGGAAAGTGGCTAATTCTCAACAGTACGACACCAGTCTATTGCGTGGGAAATAAGATTCTGGGACACAGTGCAGGCTGATTCCCCTTTGCCTTTCCACGACGCCTTGCTTTCCTTTAACGTCTTACTGTTTAGCCTTGCATCCATTGAGTAAAGAGCCACAGAGCAGAGGGACTGAGGTCACAGTTGGGGAGACATCCCTGCCCGCCTGTTCCTTCCGCCCTTCTTCTCCTTGATGGCAGAAGGCATCAGACATCTCCAGGGGAGGAGCTGCCCAGGATGAGCAGTCCATTGCTATGAGACAAGGAGATACAGGCATGAAGGAGGACAGGGTCACCTAGAGAGAGCAACTGGCCTGGAAGCTGGGACACCGCCTCTCTAATGTCCCTCCCATCCGTGGAGGGAAGGGGGGACTGGAATCATTCAGTGGCCCATGGACTGCTGCCTTCTGTGGTCAGACTGCACCCTTCTGCTGGGAACTTTCTGCGAAGATAGGGCCTTAATCCCAGAGACACTGGTCAGAAACCCCCAAAAAGTGTCTTGGCGAATAGCATGTGGGGTCAGGTTGTGGGTCCAGGGGCTGGATCTGGAGGCATAGACTTCATGAGGTCGAGAACTGCTTATGTCTTGCCCTGGCCTGTTCTAGAGGCTGCTGCATCTGCTGCTGCTACCATCTAAGTGACAACATGAAAAATCCAGCCAGGTTAGCCGGTGGTTCCTAGCAGTTCCCCTAAACTAGCAGCAGGTGGTGCTGCTGAGCCAGCAAAGGCTGGTGTCGGGATGCCGGACTCAGAAAACCAGTAGGCTCCATGCTGCTTTACCTTCCCTTCCTCCAGGGTCAGCAGGCGCTGACAACTCCAGGATCCTGAGATGACCTCTATTCCACCACCATGTCCATCCATCCCTCTGCTCGTGCTGGCCAGGCATGTCCTGGCAACCCACAGCCCTCATCCCTTGGCAGCCTGCTCAGGGGCATCCGTGTAAGAGCCACACTGGGCTCTAGGTCCGTGGCTCTCAAAAGCATCCACATGACAAGCACATAGGCCCTCAGCTCTAGAGATGACAACGCCAACTCTAAGCAGAGTGAAGCTTTGGAGAAAGGAATACAAGGACGGGTTTCAGAGTAATCTGAACAAAAACCTCATTCCCAAGCCAAGGCCTTTAGACCTCTCAGAAACATAAGCAGCAGTTAAGGGCATCATCTAGGGCCTCCAGCCAAGGATGGGCCAGGTGACAGCCATCCCAACCACCTTCTGGGCAACTGGTGGGGGAAAGGCGTCAGCTGGGTTGCCGTGATGCACTAGGGCTGTCGTTGGCATCGCCGTGGGCTGCGTCAGGGCACCGTGTCTGGCCTTTAGCACTCGCTGTCATGTCCCAAGACACCATAGGAATTTTTAAGAGGTTCAGAGAAGGTGCTAGAAGGTATAATTACTAAGTGATGAGGAAGGGGGAATATTTATGAATGGAACTGGTCCTTTGAGAATGTGGGCAGCCCATGCATTGCACAGCTGAAGTATTAAATACCAAAGATGGGGGAGGGGCTTCCCAAGTTGGCATGATGAGGTCGAGCACACTCAGCTCCGAAGCTCAGGTTTCTTGACTTCAAGGAATCCATGTGGAGCCAAGCTGTCAGGGTTAGCAGAGACAGCTCCGCAACGGAACTCCTAACACACACTTCTGAAATGGAATCATGCAGGCTTTCTACATCGTGATCCATCAATGGGTATACAAAACTTTTCCATAAAAAAATATTAAAATAAGCCTAATTTTTATAAAACGCTAAGAATGTGGGTATGTGTGATGTCATAATCCAGCCTCCAAAAGTAGATGGGAAGAGAGGAGAAAAAAAATGAACACATGTAACTCTGTGGAGAGTGTGTGGTTCCTCGTCTCAGGAATCATGCGGCCTTCCCACCAGCCCCAAACTGAGAACCAGAGCGGTCAGTCACCAGGAGCCCAGGAATGGTGGCCAAAGCTCCCGCTTGCTCCCCTAGACACGGACCCCTGAGAGAGAATAGACAAAGGAGAGGGGCAGCTCCTGAGCGCCTGGACTCCCACAGACCGCAGCATAGAAAGCCATTTTGGAGGTCATTTTCTCCCCATGTTCCAGAGGAACAAAGGGGAAGTGTGGATAAGGGACCCAGACTTATCTCCAGCCGTAAACACTACGGTGCTGGATTTTAACTCGAAGACACCAGCCTCAGGCGGGCAAACTGGGCGGCAGCACCGTCCTCCCTCACAGGGACGAGGCTCATTGTTAGAGCACTAAAAAGCTTTATCCTGGAGAGAGAATTCTGGCTCTGCAGGTTTCTGTTCTATAACCTTGGACAAAGTGATTCCTCTGAGGTCAAATCAGTATCAGTGAGCCTTTTGGGGCTGATGGAGGAGTAAGTGGGTGGAGACATCAGTCAGGCACAGCCGTAATCCCAGCATGGGGAGGCTGAAGCGGGAGGTTCTAAGTTTGAGGTCAGCCTGGGCTACCGAGTGAGACTCAGAGGAAGGAAGGGAGAATATTTGTATCGTGGCAGCACCTGACACACGGTGGCCCCGTACTTTCCAGGGATGAGGACCCACATGCTAACAGCAGGGAGGCCCCAGTGCGGTGTGGCCTGGGCTTGAGGCCTGACTGGCCCCACAGCAGTTGTCCAAAGTAAACAAAAACAGTCGTAATAGAAAGACAAAGAAGACAACAACCCTTCCGTGCTGAGCACGGAGTCCCTGGGAAAGGCCGGTCCTTGTGTGAGCATAGCCGTAGGGGTGGTGGTGGCATTACTCACAACAAAAGGAAGCGGGGAGGGGAAATAATGCACAGTTCCGCCGCTTGTCTCTGGCCTCAGCCACAAAGAAGGAGGATACAGCGTGTACCCCAGTGTCCTCCTGTGTCCCAGGCTCTCACGTACCAGCGCCACTGCGTCGAGTGCTCATGTCTGCCACGTATGTCCACTCGTTGGTGGCTGGGTTGTACTGCTCCACGGTGCTCAGGCACTGCCTGGAAGCCCCATCATAGCCCCCAACAGCATACAGCTTCCCTGGAACAGACAAGGCCACGAAGGGGGTCATTCACGTGGAGTAGCTGCTCCGCCGAAGCTCCTAGTTAACCCGCTGAGGCATCTTTGCCTCATTCAGGCAGGGTTCTGGGCGGCCCAGCTTATTCTCCAAACACAGGGCATATCTCCCTTCCACTTTCCATCTGCCCTGAAAGCATGGTCTACCCTCAAGCGATGCTGAAGCTCTTTCTGAAAGGGAACCAGGGACCTAGCACAGAACACTCGGCTGGCATCGCTGAGGTTCAGAGCTGTCCTGCTTGGAGAGCTAGGAAGCTGCAAAGCTCTCAGCTGTAATCACACACCCAACTCTCTGGCTCTAGGCTCACAGTGATGAGTTGGAAGAGCCTGGAGGAATATTCTTTACTGAGAACCCAAGCCTGTCCCCAATCACACCTCCCAAACCCTGGCTGGTAGAGCAGCTCAAAGAACAGTTCTGTGTTCATCCCGGGTGAGGCAGCAGAAATTTTTCTACAGATCGCCTTTGTTCTCTGAGCTATATCAGAACCCTGAAGCATTATCAACTATTTGTCTTTGCATTTTTGTGTGTATTGGAGTTCTACCTGCATGTTTGTCTGTGTGAGGGGTGCCAGGTCCCCTGGAACGGGAGTCACAAGCAGGTGTAAGCTGCCATGTGGGTGCTGAGAATTAAACCTGGGTCCTCTGGGACATCAGCCAGTGCTCTTAACTACTGAGCCATCTCTCCAGCTCTTACCAACTGTCTTTATAAGCTCCTGTGGGAGAGTCATTCCCAACGGGGGCTAGAGGCTGGGAATGAGGTGCAAATGGGAAGGGGTAAATCTGACCTACGTGAGAGAAAAGATTCAAACGTTTGGGGCTTAACATTTATAGTCTTAGATACTACGGTAGGACAGTCCCTTCTGCGGGGACAGGGAAAGAAGCCCCACTTTGCCTATGGACATCAAATCTACAGGACTCCATGACACTAGCTAGCAGCAGGCTAAAGTGACACTAGCTTCAGGCCAAATAAGCACAGACATGGGCAAATCTCTTTGGCAGAGTTACTTCCTCAAGGATCTGGGGGCCGATATGTGAGTCCCTAATATGAAGGGCACAACTAAAATGTAGAAATCCATGATTACATTGTTCGCTTCTCAGGCCCAAACAACGCTGTGCCCATCAGGACTACTGACCCAGCATCCTACTATTGCGGAACTGTTTTTCTCTGAATCTTTTCAACTGACATTTCCCAAAAAGACCTCACAAAGTTAGAGTTGGCAAAGAAATCCACCTGGTAACCCCTCCAGAATCCGGGCCGCTGACACTGTGCTGCATAGCACTCTGGCTGCACGGTCCCAGGCCGCTGTCACTGGGCCGGCATAGCGCACTGGTTCGGATGGCCGCTGGCACTGTGCCAGCTCAGGCAGCCCACCCTCCATTCAGTAGAGGGCGTCTGTCTACACTCCTTCAGCCCACACTGAGCATTGTCCTTGTAGGTGATTCTTCGGGGGGGGGGGGGGACAAGTAGCAAATTATCCTGCAGTTCTTAAGGGTCATTCAGACAGCATAAACTCGGTAGTGAGATGATGAACCAGGGCAGAAAGCTGACTGCACAGCACTGTGAAGCGCAGTCTTCTCGGGTCCCTCCCCCACACTTGTAGAGGACACTTTCTGCTGCCCTGAGGCACTAGAGCTTTAGGAGCAGGCCAGGCGAGGGAAGCTCTCCTCACCTGCAGGGCAGGCTCTTTGACTGTACTTCTTCAAGCATGCACACCAGTCAGAGTCCTTGTCTCTGCCATCAGGGCAGCTCCTCGAACCCCGTCAACCTCGCATCGGCTAAAGCGAACAGACACTCAAGGTCTCTCCTGGAGTGCATTCCAGGGAACCTGCTATTTTTAACCCCTGGCGTATTGTTTGATGTCCCTGGCTAAGGAATGGGGTGGGGAGGGGGGGGAGAAGGCTGCTGTTCAAAGCTCTTGGCTCTGGCTGACGACCCAGTTTCTGTCCCAGCAAGAGGATGAGACGCTGAGAAACAGTTTGTCCTGGTGGCCTCACTGAGATGTGTTCAAAGACACTGGGATACTCTGCCGTTAGGTGAAAATTTCAAGCTAGTAACAGTGGCCCAGGCTGACAAATGCTGAGATAAAGAGATGGCAACCCTTGAAGCCGCTTGGTTTTTGCCACCTTGACACAGACTAGAGTCACCAGGGAAGAGGGACCCTCAGCTGAAGGATTGGCCTGTAGGCATGTCTGTGGATCATTTTCTTGATTGTAAATTGAGGCAAGGGGGCCCAGCCCACTGTGGGTAGTGCCATCCCCAGGAAGGTTGTGTATAAGGCAGGCTGAGCGAGCCATGGAGAGCAAGCCAGTAAGCAGCAGCCCCTCCCAGGCCTCAGTTCTTGCCTTGTGTTCTGGCTTTGGCTTTCCTTGACGATGAACTGTGACCTATAAGCCAAATAAATCCTTTCTTCCCCAAGATGCTTTTGGTCTGGGGTTTAGCATAGCAACAGAAAACAAACTAAAACACCATCTCACTGTATGCTAGGCTCGTGTGTGTGTGTGTGTGTGTGTGTGTGTGTGTGTGTGTGTGTGTGTACATGTGTATGCTCTCACTGGTACACACAAAGCATCCATGCAGACATCTGGATGAGTAGACATCAGTGCAGACTAATCACAACTGGCCCATCATCTCTAACATTTAGTTCAACTCAGACTCTCCGCACTGGTACTGAGCTCACACACTGGCACCTACCTATCGGCCTTTGAGAATGGTTTCCTAATCTAGATTAGGACTCAGAAGACCTGGGCAGAGGACCACTCTGCTACTTACTATCATAACACAAGTACTTCGTTTGCTCTTCAGGACAGTTTCCCCAGTAGGAAGACAGCCACCGGAGTCCTACCTATGTTCCTCCAGAGGGCTTGCGAGAATAAGTAGGAGAGAGATGTTTTACAAATTTCTGAGTACTGTCTGGCCAGGCCTGTGACCTCACAACTCCCTCCTGCTCAGCCACACCCCACACCAAACCTATCCTGGGACCCGAGGCGGGTTAGACCTGAACAAAAAGAGGCTGCCGTTCCCACTGCCCTGTTAGCGTACAACAGAGCAGAGACTTAGCAGGCACATTTAACTCAGACCGTTGCTGCCACATACCAGAGAGTCTGCGTTGACTCTGGGCTCTCCGCTTCCTTCCCAGCCTCCACTGTTAGCAGAGAAATTGACAGGTGGCCAGGGGACAGACGCCACTCCCCTGTCTCTGCTTTCTCTCCTAACCTGCTGAAGCTGCTCTTAGCCTTGGCTCGGGAGCTTGCCCTCTGAGACTTGGCCCTCCTTGTCTGTTAACTAGAGACAGTGACACTGAACTCAGACCAGTGCCCTGAAGTTGGAGCCATAATAGATGGGGCATCAGGCAGTGTTAGACTCAGGACGAGACCCACAGGCTAGGGCAGGACCGGCCACGCCCTCTGCTGCCTCCTTACCCTCCACGACACCCACGCCCACACTGCTCCTCCGCGTGTTCATTGGGGCCACGAAGAACCACTCATTGGTCTTGTAGCTGTAGGCTTCTACTGACGCCAGGCCTAGGGAAAAGAGAATCATTAGCTTCCTTTAGCCAGGGGCCTCACGCTGCTGTGTGAGCAACAGTAAGGCCAGGAAGAGGCCAAGCCAGGACCACAAACTCTATATCCAGCTTGGAACACCTCTGCCTAGCTTGTGGCCATGGTAACTCCTTAGACTATATAAGGTGATCACTGGCCACCAGGATATGGCATACAAGGAAATTGGTGCACTATAAATATAAACCATTAGACTTGCAGAATGGAACACTCGACCCCAAGCAAATACCCGAGGATGCCTCGCAAACACCATCTTTTCCCATCTCTTCTTCTACTTTGCAAGCTGGATGGCTAAAGGTGTACCTCCTAGGATCCACTGCGGATAGGCGTCACTGAGGCCTGAGCAGAAATCTGATGGGAACTTCTGGAATGGCCTTCTCATGTCTGACATAGGGTGGCCCCTTCTTGCTACCAGGGACACAAATGTCCTACTGGAGTTGTGACCGCTGTAATGTCACCATGGGGAACATGGAATCTTAAAGAACATGGCCCTAGCATCTGTGTGCAGTCACACTGAGCTGGGAACAGTGGCCTCTGGACTCTGTGTTTCCTCTCTGGATTACAACAAAACCCCCTGCACCGGCACTGTAAGCCAGGCTTTCTCCTCAGCAAAAGCAAGTCCTGCTGAAAGACTCATCAGCGCCGTCACTAGATCACTATCACTGAAGAGCCTTCAGAGAGGCAGTCAATAAATAATAAACTCAGCTTCCCCCCACCCCTGCCCCGCCCTGCCCCGCCCCGCCCCGCCCCGCCACAGGCCCAGAGACAGTCACTGCAGTTTGAGTTGACATCTTCAGTCATCCACCTGAAAGCATGGGTACAGGTGACACCGTCTCTCCAGAGTCACCACCCGCTGACAGTTCAAACTGAAACGTTTTAATTATTTTTTGTGTGTAAGGGTGTTTTGCCTACATGTTTGCCTGTGTATCACATATGTGCAGTGTTCATGGAGGCCAGGAGAGGGCGTCAGATGCCCTGCAGCACAGTTACACATGCTTGGATCCATGGGAATGGACCTGAGCCCTGCGGAACAGTGACCAGTGTTCTCTGCAGACTAATTTTGAAGTGAGGTAAAATGTGGGAGTGAGGTGCCCATGAGTGGTGCTGTAGCTCTGTGGGGCGACACAAAGGACAATGGCCAATCAGGGAACGGTGCCTGCTCTGAGCCAGGTACGGTCCCTTCTGCAGCTCGGTAGGGTACTCTATCTAGATTCCTGAAACCGTCCCAGCAGGGCACACCCCCTTTCTCTGTCTGATCCTGAGGAAACAGGCTGCTAGGCCCTTCTGAGCATGGGACCGGCTCAGAACCCATGACATCACAGAGCAGCTATGGCCTCGGTGCATAAGAAGGCTTGATGAGGACAGACAGCACTTAGGAGTCTGGATCCTGAATGCCCTAGAGGTCCACATTGACGCGGAAGGCTTGAAGTGGTGGGACTTTTGGGGAAGGGTCCTTAGCCCTTGTGACTCTTGAGTGGATTAAGATCGCGGTCTTTCCTCTTCCTGCTGCTTCCTGGCTAGTGACGCGGCGGTGTCATGTAGCCACACTGTGCCAAGAGGAAGGAACTACCTCACCACAGGTCCACACCGGCCTGTGGACTTGAACCTGCACAACTGCAAGTCGACAGACACCTTTCCCACGTGTTAAGGGTTACTTTGGTGTTTCCTGACGGTGCGGGAGAGCTCACTAGTTCCGATGGGTTCATTCCTGGGGCGGCATCGCTACAAATGCAGGAAGCTAGCCCAACAACCTGCGCAACACCCCCTCCCAACCCGGACCTACCGGTACTGCCGTCGAAGCCCCCAACCGCATAGAGGAGGTCATTGAGCACAGCGGCACCTAGCGTGCTCCGGCGCTCCTGCATGCTGGCGATGGACGTCCACTGGTCCTTCACACCATCGTACACATCCACGGTCCGCACCCGCAGAGAGCCGTTAAACCCGCCCACGGCGTAAACGTGGCCAGCCATGAACACCACACCTGAGACAGAGGGAAACACAGCATGAGAGTTGGGAAGGCGGCTGCCTGCCCAAGTGGATGAGCAGCATCAGGGAAGCAAGGCGGGCATTGCGGCTGACTCGCCCCCCTCCAACTTTAGCTGTCTGCGAGGAGCTATGGGGCTCTGATTTCTTCTCCTGTTTGTTTCTCTAACTTAACCTGGTTTGAGTAAATTCCCGAATTGGCTTAAAGTCACAAGTAGGAGTAAGCAGCCCCAACTTGTGGTGGAAAGGGGAGGGGATCTGGAGGAGGAGCTCGATGGGGCAGAGGCCAGCAGGGATGGGGGTGGGGGGGTGCTTACCTGCTCTGCATCTCCTGGAGGGAAGCTCCGCTATCTGGTCCCAGCGGCCCTCCTCAAAATCATAGCACTCCACACTGCGGATCGCCTTAGGAGCCTGGCCACCAACCACAATCATGACCTCCAGAAAGAAATGCACATTAACTACTCTGCCCAACACGCACAGAGTGGATTGAGTGGATGGCCAATCCGTGGCCCCCTCCACATGCTGCCTGCCAGTCTGCAGAGTTGCACACTGGAAGATGCTGCCGTGGTCACCAAGGGGTACATACATATTCCAGAAAAGCCAGCCAAGCAGCCCACAATAGGCCCACACGTTCCAAACACCCCCAACCCAGGGTGATATTGCCAAGGTAACAAAAGCACCTTCTACAATCTCAGTACACACGAGACAGAGCGGGGAATACAGTTTTTACATCGAGACAAACATTTGGGGTGGGAAGCACAGATTCTGGACGCATTTTTAGGATGATATTATTAACCCTAAGTATTTCTGAGTATCTAGACTGCAGAGGGTACCTACTACTGTGGTAAAGGAAAAACAATAATTTTTAAACACAGCTTTGTGGTGGTTATCAAGTGATTTAACGGACAGTGCTCTGAGAAATGCTAAAGTACTTTTTGCTCCCTACAAGCAAGGCCGTAGCCAAGACAGCCAGGCACGCACAGTGTGTTGTCATTTGCTTGTCAGTGTGACTGACAGATGATGGGTTCAGAAAACAGGTGTAAATGGTCAGAGGTCACTCAGCGAAGGGAGGCAGAAGAGACAGGGGAACCCAAGCCCACCTGACATGGGGGGGGGGCTGCCAGGCTTCTCTTCTGTTCTAGAAACTGCAGTCCATGTCTACACTGGCCATGCATGCTGCCTTTCATTGGGGACTCAACAAAACTCAGTTCAGTGGATTGTGAGCAGGACACATCAAGTTGAACAGCACAGAAAATGCCCAGCCAGGGTATTGTTTTACAAAATATTTAGATGTATGTTTTGAATAGTGAATTGCATGGATTTCTTGCTGCAGGGTGTGGTCACTGACTTGTGGCATCTGCACTCCCCAAGCATTATACATGCTATTAATGAATAAGAATAAAATGCTGAAGATAACCATAGCCTGCATGGTTTGACAAACCTGGGCAAACTCACACTGCCCCCTCGTGATAACATTAACCCGTCCTGGCATTTCAACGCCCTTCTTCCAGCTAGCCAACATAAGCCACAGGGCTGAACACAGCCCGAAGCCTGTCTTATCCACCTAGCAGTGCTCACACAAACCACTGGGCCCTACCCCAAGTTCCCAGTTCAGCAGGCCCAGGGTTTATCTGAGAATCTGTCTCTAACATGGCGCGGGAGATGTCAAGGCTGTGCTTCAGAACTCAGACAGAGAGAAGCATGTTGAAGCATGTTGACCCGCCCCTGGAGGGAGTTCTCAATGACACACCATCAATCATCACACCACCTTCCGCGTCCTCACAGTATGTTACTGGGGAGGGGGTCATCTAAACAACCGTGTAAACTGGCAGGAGTGTAAACCTCAGGAAAAGAAAAAGGCCCAAACTGCAACCATTGCACAACATCAAGCATGACGCCAGGCCCCAGTGCCCACATCACTGGCCACTGCTCTTTAGGATGGCTCGGTGTCTGTGACCCAAATGTGGGTCACAAAATCTTCAAAGCTCGAGAGTCACTTCTGACCTCTAATCCCTTCCAAAGCAAACCATAATACACAGGCCTGGCCTCACTGTGGTGCTCCCAGACCAGGACACACAGGCCTCACTGCAGTGCTCCCACGGGCCTCACTGAGGTGCTCCCACGGGGCTCACTCAGGTGCTCCCACGGGGCTCACTCAGATGCTCCCACGGGGCTCACTGCAGTGCTCCCACGGGCCTCACTGAGGTGCTCCCATGGGTCTCACTGCGGTGCTCCCAGACTAAGTCTCTATGTCCTTTTCCTGCAAGCCCGAGCTTAGAGCCCTCAGCCTGGGGTCGGAGAAAAGTCAGATTGTACATTTCTTCCTGCCATGTCTTGTTTAAATGGCAGCCATGGGCAGGACCATGGGGTCGGGGGGTTGGGGATGTTAATGAAATCAGCTTCTTGGCTAACCTCAGACAGTGCCCAACTCCCTCCTCCAGGGCAGCTCTAAAGGCCGTGTGTCCATAAAGCTCCCTAAAACTTGCCTTCAGTGCCTCACAAGTATGTTAGCCCCAAACTCTCAGACTCAAGCAACCCTCCTGCCTCAGCCTTGCGAAAGCCATCCCACTGTGCCCGGCAATAATCACTGCCTTTAGATAACCTGTCCACTGGGGTGAGCCTGGTAAGGATGGGGATGCAGGGGTCATAAGCAACTGAAGAACAGGTCCTGGGATAATAATAATGCTCACTGAGCGGCACGAAGCCCTCCTAAACACTGCAGTGCACTTGAGAGCCTGGCAGGTGCCCCGGGGTCCTGATCCCAGGTCTCAATCATACTGTCCTGAGAGCTGTAGTCTGCTCACTGGAGCTCCCTCCTTCCCTCCCTCCCTCCCTCCCTCCTTCCCTCCTTCCCTCCTCTCTCTCCCTCTCTCTCCCTCTCTCTCCATTCCTCCCTCCCTCTTTCCCTCCCTCTCTCCTCTCTCTCCCTCTCCCTGTCTTCTGTCTGCATGTATGCCTGCAGGCCAGCAGAGGGCACCAGATCTCATTATGAATAGTTGTGAGCCACTATGTGGTTTCTGGGAATTGAACTCAGGACCTCTGGAAGAGCAGTCAGTGCTCTTAACCTCTGAGCCATCTCTCTGTCCCCTCACTGGAAATTTCTGGTTGACGGAGTACGGGCAAGCTGAACTCCACCACGGCAAGGATGGTTATTAGGCACCTCCCAAGGAGAACACTCCATTATGGAAGTTCAAATGGCCATTTATGTTAGTGAGATTCCTTAGCCTGGTTTCTTAGAATGGGAACTGCCAGCATAGCAAGTTTTAAAACAGGCAGATCAACTCTGCTTCCAGGAGAAGAGCAATAGGAATGAATTACTAGAGCAACTGGTAAGCAGGGCCAACCTCTCTGGCCCATGTGTGGATCAACACTCTGACCCTGGCCACAGCAGGTGTCCACTCAGGTCAGAGCAACTACCTGGGCTGTGCACTTTCTTCATGGGTAAGAGTAGAGTGTGTCCAAACTCTCTTCCATGACAGGTGAGCTGGGCAGAAGGCAGGCCAGCCAGTCGGTCCCTCGGGCCAGGGCAGGAAGCGAGTCTCTCTTACCCTGGTGCGTGGGGCCGCAGGGCTAACACCAAAAAATTCATCCGAAGGAAGTGTGTCCAGTAGAGTAGAAGACTGGTCCATGCAGGTTCCTAAGCAACAGGAGCCCCTGGCAAGAGCTGACGGCAAGATGCAGAAACAATAGGGGTCTGACAATCAGACAGCATGAGCGTGGGGCCCAAAGAGAGGGAGTCAGTGGGCACTGGGGTCAGACACATCTTGGCTCAGCACCTACATGATCTGAGAACCGGGGTGTTTCTCACACTGTCTGTAGGCTTCAGTGATATGATGCGCTTGTTACAAGGCTTAGGGAATAGCAAGCGGTGTTAACAGGCAAACACTTGGCATTGTTATTGATGCTTAAAGACTTTGCTGAAAGAGAAAATTGAAAATATAGAGAATGCCAGGTGTGGTGGAGCACACCTTTAATGCTAGCACTTGGGAGGCTGAGGCAGTGCATTCGAGGCTGGCCTGGTCTACAAAGTGAATTCCAGGACAGCTAGAGTTGCTACACAGAGAACTCTGTCTTGAAAAAAATATATATAGATATATATGAAATATGTGTATATATATGAAATGTGTGTGTGTGTGTGTGTGTGTGTGTGTGTGTATGATATGCGTGAGCCTTGAATGAGAAAGTGAGGTCTATGAACCCCAGGGATCATGGTGATGATTCTTCTCAGAATCCCAGGGTGTTTGGTGGGGAATGGGATAACATGGAAGACAGGCAGTGCCAGTCAAGGGACGTGGGCGAGGTGTGAGGTCACCCTAACCCACCTGCCAGCAGCCTCTGCTTCTAACATTTCTATCTGAAAGCCAGATGGTCCAATTCGGGATCGGGCTGCCCTTGTCCATCCCAGATGGCTTTTTGCATCATTTCCAAAGGGGTGGAGAGAGGCACACACTGAGCTAGAATCACGGGAAAGCATCGATACATTTCCAGCGGTCTCCTTTGCACCCTCCTAGAGCCTGATTTCTTTTTCCTGCTGCCATCTGTAGAGCCGGGCAATGCAGGCAGGCTCTGAAACTGAGAGACAGCTTCTGGTTGTCCATAGCAACCCAGCCTCAGGGAGCATGCTGGGTGCCAAAGGTATGGGAGCCAAAACCAAGCTATTGGCTGTTCCTGCTGGAATGTGTCAGGAAGACCAACTGTCCCCAGCCGAGGACACACTGTTGTTACCCTCCACAGCTATCTCAAGGGGTTCTAGTCCTTTCAGGGAAAGGGCTTCACTAGCAGACAGAGTCATGCTAAGGAGAGTACACATCTCTCTCCATCACTCCATTTCTCCAGAAAGCCTATCTGAGCGGAAGTTCTGACAAACCAAACCAATCTGTCCTTGGAGTTTCTCCAAGGAGCCAGAGGACCTCCTCTCCCTCTGCTTCCTTGCTATTTGCAAATTCTCTCTCCTTCTCAGAGGGACTTCCTGGAGGGCGGGATTCAGGAGTCCTCCCACAGAGGACTAAGACTGTGGAGTTTAGAGGCTATGCCACAAAGCAGTTCAGAGCTACACCCGCTCAGCTTAAATCTCAGCCCAACCATGCCGCCGCTGAACTTCAAAGAAGGGCAGACACCTTCTGACCCTCCTCGTGGCCCGCCCTTGGTGTGTGTGCTACCTTCGTGATTTGTGTCTATCAAAGAAAATAGCAAGAAAGGGGTGGTTACAGCGATGAGGTTACAGCAAGGCCGACGCCTCTGTCTGGAGTGTGCCCCTCACTTTTATGTGGCAGAGTCTCTCACGGGAGAAGCAAGCTACCCTGCACTGGGGCCTGTGAGGTGGGAAACCAAAGTCCGCCAGCGGCTGTGTGAGTGAAGTCTTCCCCCAGACCAGGCTTTGGATGTCTGTCACCATGACCTCTAGCTAGAACCAACACAATCCAGCTAAGCCACCC